GTGTTCTACCTCCCATGGTGGAAGATGAACCTGACAAAAGAATTTGGGAGATCCAAAAATCTCATTCTGTTTCTGTGGGTGCCATTTATGCTTTTCTGTATAACAATGATGTTATTGACGATGGTACTATGAAGATTTAGAGTCGGTTGTGGTCTTGGAAGGGACCTCAACGTATTAAAAATTTTGCTTGGAAGCTTTTGCACCAGAAATTGTTAACGAATAGTATGATTTCTTCTTGGTATGGTGGAGATGGAATGTGTAATTGTGGAAGTGGAGAGATGGAAACTATTATTCATTCTTTAAGAGATTGTCCCAAGGCTAAAATGGTGTGTGGGATTGTCTCATTCCAACTTCCCATAGCACTGAATTTTATACTGCTTCAATAGAGCACTGGTTTTTATTTAATTTCGGTGTTGATATCTTTCAGAATGATCATGACAGGTGGTTTTCGACTTTTATGGTTGCTTGTTGGAAAATTTGGAGTTGGAGGAACATGTTGAACCATGGCCGAGAGGTACCTCTGATTGGTAGTCGAGTGCAAATAATTAAAAATCTTGTTAAGGATATCGAGTTGGCTGTTGTTCATCAAAATTTAAATAGCTGCAATCCTCACCTCAGCAATGTTTCAGTATCTTGGAGTTTTCCTGAGGAAGGTTTTGTAAAGGTGAACACTGATATCGCTTCTCGTGGTAATCCTGGTTTGGCTGCTTGTGGAGGAGTAATTAGAGACTCTCAGGGGGTGTTTGGTTCAGGGTAAATTTTATGAATAATAAGGAAATGTGATATATAGGGAAATGGTTGGAAAGTGAGATAGGTAGATAAATGTAAAAAAAATGTTGTTTGGTTGGAAAAAAATTTACCGGGGAAATTAGGTAACTTTTTTAAAATCTATGTTTGGTTGTAGGTAAAATATAGATGAGGAAATTAGGTAAATTTACAAAAATAACCCTGTTTGTACAATATTTTTACGGTGGCATGCTACTTTAATCATCTGTTGTTTCCTTTTTCTCAAGGTATTTATTTTGTTTTTTAATTTGTCTTTGCATCAGTGATTTTCTTAATTTACTTTTGACTTAGATTTTCCAGCAACTGAATACTGAGGTCTGGTTAAGGGTGCAGAAATTCAGAGTGGTGATGGGAAAATTCTGCAGCTTGAAAGGAGAAGTGGAGACCCTTCAGCTGTGGCTAGGGCCTCTATTTTGGCTTCTCTTTCTAACCTCAGAAAGGACCTTACACAATGGAAATCACCATCTCAGACCTCCAGTAAACCTCACCAAGGTGCTGATGTCTCTAGTCATTCTGTTCTTCATGATGATACAGAAATTGAGCTTGATGGCTCAGAATCAGCTCCAAATATACTAGTGATAAAGGAGGTGATGTTGGAGCAAGCGACAAGAATTCAACAATGGATTGCGACCTAGATGCTGGCACAGAAGGTGTACGCTCGTCTTTGGCATAAAAAATGGTGTGAGAAATTGTCTTGCTTTTTGTAAATACCACCTACGTGAAGGATATCCTTGGCCGGCTTTTTGAGGACGAAATGCTATGCATCTACGTTTCCTATGCATCTACGGTAGGTGGCTAAATGAAGAAGGACAGCAAAACAAACGCACCATTCTTAGTTTCCCACTAATGATATATCTATCATTCTGAAAATTTACCCCAAACCAAACACCCCCTCAAGGTATTTGGTTGGATGACTTTGCTTATAGGTTGGGCTTTTGTTCTTCCTTTAAAGCTGAGTTGTGGGGTATTTTAAGAGGTTTAGAGAGGGTTTGGTGTTGTGGTTATAGGAAAATTATTTTAGAAAGTGATTCGTTTATGGCAATCAATGTGCTCACCAATTGTTGTGTGGCAGCCCGTGAGGTGCAATTGGTATCTCGTATACGGAATTGGCTTGATAAGGATTGGCAGGTTCGTCTTCAACATACCTTTAGGGAAGGCAGCACATGTGCAGACTGACTAGCTAATTTTATGTTGATGCTACTCAGCAAGCTGATCATTGTGTTTTTAGTCAACCTCCTTTTGGTATTCATCCTTTATATTTGGGTAATCTTGTTTCTGTTGGTAGGGTTCGTGCTGTGGCACTACCTGGATAGTTTCCTTGTATTTTCTTTTTTTGTTTTTGGCTTTTAGGCCTTTTATTTATCGAAAAAAAAAAGAAAAAATATATATGGTCTAAAATAGGCTGTCATGTTTGCCTCTCATAAGCCACCGACCTTTTTATTCTCATATATAGCCCCAAAAAAAAAATTTAAAAACAAAAAATGACGACAGATGAATCGGTCTTATCCCAAAATAACTCATGGATTATACAAGACAGATTAAACTAACCTGCCTAAACATACAGGTTATAAACTGCAACTAACCAGTAATCGAAGTTAAACTTGAAGTTCAAATCCTTTTTTTTTTTTGATAGATATAAGTAATATCTTGAAAATTTTTGAAGTTAATTATTATTATAAAATTACTTTTTACATAATTTTATTTAGGAAAGGTTATATTTACAATTTATTTTCGTTTACCACTTCTTACAACCATATCTTAACCGTTGATTTCCGTCAATAAACAGTTAAGATTTTCGCAAATTAAATTTATTAATTAATTATTAATTCACAATAAATGACAACCGTTGATTTTTGTCAATCAACGGTTAAGATGTGGTTGTAAGAGTTTGTAAACTATTTGAGTTGTAAATATAACCCCTCCAACTCCCAAGGGTAGCTCAGTTGGCAGCTGAGCTCCCAAGAGATTGCTTGGTGCAGGGATCAAACCTTGCCTCAAGCAGTTTCTTGCAAAATCTTTGGGGGCCAGAGGATAAACCAAAAATCTTCAGTTGGGGGATTAATCTCGTCCTCTCTCCGGTTGTGAAGCTTAGTGCACCCACTGTTACAATGAGGATACCTCCTGGCAATGTACCAAAATAAAAATATAACCCCTCCCATTTTATTTATCTTTAAATTTTACTATTAGTTCATTTGAAACAATTAATAGAACCATTAGACACCGCAAGAAATTGTGGCTATTTGAACCTTGCAATATAGCGTGTTTTCTTTTAAAATCTCCTTTTTCTTTTTTTCCAGGTTGGGTGTGGCCTCTTGTGGGCTTCAATCAAAAAGACTTATCCACTGACAAAAAATATATTATTTGTTTAATTAAATTCAATCATAAAAGATATACCAAAATTAAATTCTTAATACTTCTTATTTTGTGATTATGACTATTTTCAAGTATTTATTAACAATTTGCGTCGTGTCTATAACCCTTTTAGCATTTTATAGCTCTAATGAACTTTCTATTATTGTAAAATCTGAATTAAAATTAGTAAAACATTTACCCAAAAAAAGTAATTTATTAAAATGGACTTAAGTAATTTCCTTCTTAAATTTTAACTATATTTTGCAATTATTTATTTTCACATAATTAAGTGGGCGTTTGAATTTTATTTTTCTTTATTAAAAATAGTTTTCCAACCAAAAACTATTTTTTATAAAATTCTGATTATATGTTTTTAGAGGAAGGTTATACTTACAATTTTTTTTTACAACCTCTTACAATCATATCTTAACACCGTTGATTTTCGCCAATCAACGGTTATAATTTATTGTGAATTAATAATTAATTAATTTAATTTGTTAAAATAATAACCGTTGATTGACGAAAATCAACGGTGTTAAGATATGATTGTAAGATGTTATAAAAAAAGGTTGTAAGTATAACATTCCTCTTGTTTTTAATGTACAATGAGTTGATTAAAACACATATTTAAAATGCTTAATTTTTTTTTATAATTCTTATCATAATAAAACCTTTAAAATGTGATGAACTTTATTACTAAAACATAAAAAAAAAATCCTAAAGCATTAGATCTCTTTTAATGTTTCTAAAGTAAATGTAGATAAGTTATCTACATTCGCTTCCAAAACGACGTCATTTTGGGTTGAAAAATTAAAAAATTATAATAAAAAGACTATTGTAACCCTGAAATAAATTATAATTACAAAAAATACCTTGATTTTCACTTCAAAACGACGTCGTTTTGAGCTCACTGTAAATAAGTTGTCTACATTAACTGTAGAAAAAGCGAACCCATATATATATATATATATGAGGCAGGATCCTTTGACACCAGTGTCAAATTTGAAATTTGACACCTCATCTGATAGCCGTTAGATCAAAAAAGATTAACGACTCTGATTTATAAGCATGTGACACCATTGATTTTTTTTGATCTAACGGCTATGAGATGAGGTGTCAAATTTCAAATTTGACACTGGCGTCAAAAGATCCTACCTCTCTATCTCTCTCTCTCTCTATATATATATATATATATATGGGGAGAGATCTTTTGACTCTAGATTAAGACTTACAATTCTTACTCCTCATCTCAACCGTTGATTTCCGTCCATCTAACGGTTATTATTTATTTGAAATAAATAAATAATTAATTGTTATAGATAACCGTTAGATGGACGGAAATCAACGGTTGAGATGAGGAGTAAGAGTTGTAAGTCTTACTCTAGAGTCAAAAGATCCTTCCCCTATATATATATATATATATATATATATATATATATATATATATCACATGAGATAAATTATATCTCCTGTAATTCAAAATGACATTATTTTAAAGTTTGAAAAATAAATTTGAGAATTTTTATTTATTTTTATCCCTTACAATATAATATTTTTTAAATTCTTTATATATATTTTTCAAACCTCAAAATAATATCATTTTAAGAGGTAGAAAATAACTTAGAAGAAACACTAAATTCATATATCATGTATTGACAATAAATAGTTAAATACAATTAAAATCAATTATAGTTGAATGTCAAAATACACAAAAAAAAAAAAAAAAAAGCTCAAGGAAGAAATTCAAAAATCTTTTATTTTTTCACTGTAAATTCTCTAATAGTGTGGGAAGATTTTCACTTTGCGGCTTACAGTTTACAAGAAGGTGTATTTATTTGCTATCTTGCAAAGTTTGGTACGTAATTATAAAGGCATAGGTGTGTGTGGTCACATATCTCATCAACGAGAACCACGATCGACAAAAGGGCCTCGTACTTCCGCTGGAGTAGTTTCCCTTAACCCTCGATCTTCTCCGTTTCGATTCCGAAGCTTCTGAGAAAATGAACGACTCAGATGTCTCCAAGCAAATCCAGCAGATGGTCAGGTTTATCCGCCAGGAAGCCGAGGAGAAAGCCAACGAGATCTCTGTCTCCGCCGAAGAAGTACCACTTCAATTCTCTTTGCTTCCGCTTCCACTTCACCATTCCGATTCATCTCTTAATTTCTCAATCGAATCAGTTTTTTTAGTTTAGATCGTTGATTTGTGTATAATTACGTCATTTTCAACCTAGCTCTTTCTGTTTCTTCGTTTACCCGTTGAATCGCCATCGAATTGATACTTATGTTCAGAGTTTTACTGTTTTCTCGTAGGAATTCAACATCGAGAAGTTGCAGTTGGTTGAAGCCGACAAGAAGAAGATCCGCCAAGAGTACGAGCGCAAAGAGAAGCAAGTTGATATTCGGAAGAAGATGTAAATTACCTTTTGCCTTCTATGCATATTTTTCTTTAAATTCGAAAAAACCACTTGGCCATTTCATCGGTTGTCATTTATGTATCGAAATGGTTGCAGTTGATGAATTCTGACTCTAATTCTCAATTTTATACGTTCATAAACTACTAAAGATTGAAGATGATTGTGATAGTTGTTGGAATTAATTTTAAATTAATTATTTTTTTAATAAGAAGTTTGATTTGAAAAGATGTGTTGTTTCGTCGATGAACGGATGTGTAGTTTCATCGCTGAATGGATGTGTCGTTTCATCGATGAATGGATGTGTTTTTTCAGTCGTGACCCTACGTTTTCTATAAATAAATAGAGAATTAGAATTAAAAAAAATATTTCTTGCATTTGCATTCCATTACTCTAGTGCGATTGGTCATGCATATATTGAGTTTGATGGGCTATTATATGTGGAAGTACTGCCACGAGAATAGAGGTAATTTGTTTTTATCCTGAGAGACAATTGTCCATTAATTTTGGTCACCATTGAGAGGGCAATATTGTCTTAAGAACACAAATACTGGGCTCAGATTTTTCTTTGTTGCATTCATATATTTTCGTACGGTACACTTTAACTATGTGTTATTGCATGTTTCAATTTCTTGTGTGCACTTCATGAAATTGTGGATTTTGTCGAAATAACTTCTCTAACACATATTAACCCCTCTTAATGATTTTTAACATCATTTGGATAACAATAGTAACTTATTAATAATGATTGTAATTATTACTAAAGTTTGACTTACAGTCAAAGTCTAGCGTATCCGTTTGGTACTGTTCAGATAGCTCTAATCATTTCTAAACTATTGACATATGTCGTATATGGCTAATTACTTGCATTTGTTGTTATTGAATGGAAAAATTCCTCTTTTATATTTGAGTGACATTGAGAGTTTAGTTTTTGGAGGTTTAGTTCGTTTCCTGCTGTGAATTGCTCTGTATTTACTTTTTACTTTTTAACTTGAAAAAATGATAATAGTTGACATAATTTAAGTCTCACAACACAATTTTTTGTTGCAGTGAATACTCGATGCAGTTGAATGCTTCTCGGATAAAAGTTCTTCAAGCTCAAGATGATGTGGTTAATAACATGAAAGATGCTGCATCCAAGGAACTTTTGAATGTTAGTCGTGATCATCATGTGTACAGAAACCTTATTAAAGATCTCATTGTTCAGGTCAGTTAAAATTTTAGTATTGTGCTTGTTACACCTAATCATGGTTTGACCTGCAGTTTTTCTAAGTATATTCGTCAACATCATTTCTCTCATTTCAATTTTTAGTAGAGACGACATAGGCAACCAATGCTAGTTGTTATTTATTTATCATGCCTGAATTAGGCATTATTTGTGTTAGTATTATGTTTCTATTGTACCTATAACTAATAAGCTCAGGAGGAAAAGTTTTTACAAGTACCTGGTAACACAGATGAACCAATGTCATTGTTTTAAATCATAACGAATTTCTCACATGTCACTGACCAAAGTCTTCACAATGGTGTATTTGATGTCATGGGTTCAGTTCCTACCAATCCTGTTTCTCTTTTCATCCTGTTCCTACATGCAGTGTGAGTATGTGGACTTGGAATATAATAATATAAGGATTGTATTTGACAGAGTTTGCTGAGGCTGAAAGAGCCTTCTGTCTTACTACGATGTCGGAAAGATGACCTACATTTGGTGGAGCATGTGCTGGATTCAGCTGCTCGGGAGTATGCTGAAAAGGAAAATGTTCATCCACCGGAGATCATTGTTGACCACAATGTCTATCTTCCACCTGCATCCAGCGATCATAATTCCCATGATCCGTACTGGTAAATTTATTGTTATAACTAAATCCTGATTAACTGTTTGGCTTCAGCTAGTTGCTCATATGCTTTAAACTATCCTCTATCTCTATGTGGGAATTTGGGGGAGGGGCTTGTTATGAAATTATCAGGCTCTTGTAGTCAGTGCTTTACTTATAACTCTCAACCAAGCTAAACCTTGTTTTTCTTGATTGGTTGTGATACTATCTTTAGGTAAAAAAAAGAACCATAAATTTCAAATCTTAAAAGTAACTAGTTTTTAGTGTTTGTATAATTTACTGGGGATGCTTCCTGAAATCGTATTATTGACTGTCTGGCAGCTTTGATATTGATAATTCAGTTTCAATATACTTGATTATGTTTGTCATTGTTCAGCTCTGGAGGGGTGGTGTTGGCTTCTAGAGATGGAAAGATTGTGTTTGAAAATACACTTGATGCACGATTGGATGTGGTGTTCCGTAAAAAACTTCCAGAGGTAAATTTTTGCTGTGAAATATTAGACTTTTGTTATGGGTCACAGCACTTTGCATAGGGATCGCGTTGTTAAGTGTTGTTGTGTCATTTATCTAATTGTGTTAGATAATTTGCTGCTTAATTGGTTGTATTGTTGACTGCTGAGATTTAAACTAGAAAGCTAACTATTGTCAAGGTCATGGTTATTCTTTTATAATCCTCAATGTTTTCGACTTTGATATTGAAATAAGTACTTTTGGTGAATCATGCATACTGTGAGGGACAACTGAGACATTTAACTGGAATGTCGGACTATAAAGGGGTCGGGGGAGGGACATTAGGATTAAGGTTTGCTGTTGCACTAGGAAAAGGGACGAAGTTCCTCAAACAAAACTCTGCAAACTATCAGCTATTGCTCCGATGACTTCTAGCATTTGTGACTCACTTTTCTTTCTCAAGATTTTCCCTTGGGTAATGCCTTCACTTCATTCCTCAATACTATACACTTTCAGTATTTGCTAGACTAGTCCAAATATCCTTGTCATTGATTGTGACATGCACTTTCTCTGTCCTTTCTAAATAGAGGTGCCCCATATTACCATTGTTGCTGAACTTCCTTTGCCCCTTCGGTCTATTAAATATTGCTGTCTTTGCAGATTGTGTAGATTGCAAATTTGTACTTTTTTTAGACTATCATGTGTCCTAATGAAGTTTTGTAATTATTCTATAAAATTTGTAATTTTGTTTGGTTGATATTTTGATCTTCAGTAGTTTCTTTTCAGCATTCATTAATAGCTGCATATGAGGTCATACATAACCCCCCCCCCCCCCCCCCCCCCCAAAAAAAAAAAAAAAGAAATAAAAAAAAAAAGTCAAAATCCTGGGTAACCTTGTACAATGTGAGTAAAATCTGAATTTTTTGTTCCTTACTGCAGATCCGCAAGCAGCTCTTTGGACAAGTTGCTGTTTGAAGATCTTGGTTGTATTGTTTCGTTGCCCCTAGGATATTTATATCTTTCTGCAGAGATATGTCGTGCCATTGCTCCTGTAATCTTAGTATTATTGCCCCTTAAGTAACTTTTTTATTATTTTTTGGTGTTCCTGTGTGTCAGTCACTTTATCTTATTTTATTGGGATTGCGATGTTGTTAGTGATAAATATTTTCAGCTTAAAAATAAATGCTCGCTACAGCTCATCGCTGCTTTTAGCTTATTTGGTAATTAAGAACAACTGTTTTCTTATGGTGTTCGGCATGGAAATAGAAATAGAAAAAGTTCATGAAGAATTAGTGAACATTTCATATGGATTCAGTCTCTGTACATCATAAAATTTCGTTCTTTTTCCTCCTACCAACTTTCACTCTGCTAGGCACGTCTATGCCCATAGCAGGAGAATCCTACACTGTTTTATTTATTAAAGTAACGAGGTTAACCCCTACTGGTATCTGTGATAGAGCACTAGAATCTTAACTGTCTGTATTTCCTTTTTAATGAATAATGTTTGTTATGCTATGCATAAGTTTTAATCTCATATGTTCACAGCAATTAGAGTGGCATTATCAGAGTTGACAATTTGTGTACTTCATTGTTTGTTTGGGCTGATGTTGGTATGAAGCATTTGAGTTAAAATCGTATGTTTCATTGAGGAGAGGATCGTTGGTTAGGCAGAGCAATTCTTGTTTTATGTAGTTGTTGTTGCTCTTTAATAAAAGATATGCATGTCACCTGAGTTTCCGCGCATTCACTTGTTTAAGTTTGATTTGATTACAGTAGTAGATTAAAAAATGCTGTTTTTTTTGTCTGGTAAAAAACGTTATTAGTGTTAGACTGCATATATATGTTCGGAGCGGCATTTAGTATCTCAAAAGGAATTGGTTATAATCTTAATCATTCAGAAAAATGCTTTACTCAAAATAAAATGAGTATTTACTTACAACGGAGACAACTTTTTAGAGAATTATCTAACAATTCTTGAGATACAATCGTGGTTTTTATTGTTTTAATATAAATTTTATTTTGTTTGTATTTTAATAATTATGATAGTGTAGATTTGACAATAAGTTTATACCCATGATAGGAAGGGAGTAAAGCTAATATAATTGGTTAAGATCTTTTCTATATTCACATAATAGTTCTTTCACAACTTGTGCCAAATTTGGAGGATTCTCAGATTAAATATGGCAATTTTTCAAACCTGAAATCATGTATTGAATAAGTGAGCCTAGAATCCGTCTTATAATTTCATATAATTATTTCTTACAATCCTTTCAATATTTTATTGGTTTCAATAGGTGATATTGGTATAATGGTACATGTCCTGAAGGAGTGCTTTCGTCTTTTTTACTCTTAACTTGGTTCTGTTGTGAATACATTAAAAGTCTTGCGCCCTTGTATTCCATTCAACTTGGCTTGATGTGTGAATTTCCTCCTTAATTTTATAAAGATTAGGGGGAGAAAAAAAACCCTTGAATTGACCAAACAGAAAAAGAAAATTCACAGTTCATTAGGCTTTCGATTTACTGAGACTATCATGTCGATTTCACCTATGACTTTTAGGAAGCATAAAGGAAAAATTTTGAATTCTCGGAAAATTGACATTGGTAATTTTATTTACTCACATTTAGTATGAAGATTGTTAAAATTTTCCCAACAAAATCAGATTCTTAGGAAAAAAATTTGTGAAGCTTTTTGAACCAAAATGTTATCCAAAAATATCATCATATACCACAGGAGGGTGGTACTTTTGGATGATACGGAAAAATTTAACAGTATTTTCGTAACATTTCCGGTAATTATTTGATCTATTAAATAGCTTTTTAGTAATATTTTTGAAAAATTTATTTTCCCAGCATATTTTTGAAAATCATGATTTCTACGCATAAAATTTTTTTCCTTAATCAAACGCCCCCTTAAATATAAATAGTAGGTGGTATTTGATTTATTTTTTATTTTTGAATGGATATGTTTTTGTTTTTTTTTTATAAAAATTAGCCATTATTTGATATCGTTTCTTATTTATAAAAAGGGTGAAAAATAAAATATTAATTTTTTATTTTATTTACAAAATATGAAACAATGTGAAAATATTTAAGTTTTTTATAATTGTAAATAAAAGTACATCAACAAAAAATAAAATAAAATAACAAACCAAACGCCACTTAGAAATTCTTTAACAGAAATAAAATGACTAGTAGACATAATTTCTGGTGAAATTTTCATAGTATTTAATTAAAGTTTAATGTTTCTTGTGTTATAGTAGATAACTTTTTTTTTTTTTTTTTTTTGATAACAGATAAATTTATTTTTTACATATGAATAAAAGTACATGGAATTTGTGTTTTTTTTCTCTCTCTTCTCCTTATATGGACCCATATGAGTCCTCATATTTTTATGCTTTGGTAGGAGATAAATTTCTTCTTTATGAATTAAATGATGGTAGTTTAGTTTGCGCCAGACAACTGAGCAAGTGAGAGTTAGAACATGTGTTCGATCTTTTCTAGTATCGTCTTTAGAAGGGTTTAAAGTCTTAATCTCAAAATCCGCTCCAAATCGGACTAGTCGAAAAGCAATGAATCGATTGAAATATCTAAAAAAAATTAAAATTAAAATTTATCCCACGAGAAATATTAAACCCATTTAACTATGTATTTGTTTCTGTTTTTTAATTCAACAATAATCTCTTACCAAAAATAACAAAAAAATTCAACAATAATGGTTCTTATGATTTTCAAGTAATCATGCCATGCACGGTAATGAATAGGGGTGTTCGCGGTCTGGATTGAATCGGTTTTGGAAACAAAACTCATCCGCTCCAATCCTTTCGGTTTGATCATATAATCATCCATTCAGTTTTAATTTTTTTTCAAATCCGATCCAATCCAATTTTTTTCGGTTTGGATTGGATCGGTTTTCGGTTTTTTTAAAATCCTAAAATCTATTTCATGATTATTGTGCAAATAACAACTTTTGTATATATTGGCTTTGTAAATTTATTTATTTTGAAATACAAAAGCATTTATAAATTATATTATAGTTTTTTTTTTTGCAATGAGATATGAAGCTCTACAAAGATAAAATTTTGTTAATGAGATGTGACTAGATTTTTTTTTGGGTTTAGTTGATTGGTTAATGGATCTTGGGTTTAGAAATTTTTAGGCTATGATTAGGGAAAGACCCAAGTAGGTAGAGAGAAATTAGTATATTGGATCAGTTTGGATTGGATCGGTTTTCATCAATCCATCCAAAAACCGATCCAATCCAATTAAAATTTGCGGTTTTTAATCAGTTTTCGATTTTTTGGTTTTCGGTTATCGGTTATTCGGTTCGGTCACCGCGGTTTGAATCGGTTGATGAACACCCCTAGTAACGAAGGAAAATTTCTTTAGCGTCACGAGTGCATCGAATTTTTTATGCATTTTTTATTCATAATGTGATATTTATCTTATTTTTTATTAAATCACTCTTTTACTTAATTTTAGAATAAATTATTTATTAATAATTTGATATAAATAAAATATATATCATATTACGAGTGAAAAAATATATCAAAAACTCGATGCTTCCGTGATACTAAAATAACTAAAATATATTCTCGTAATGAAGAGGATGCTTGACGAACTGACATGAATTTTTTTCACATTTAATAAAGTTCAATGGTCGTTCCCAAAAAAAAAAAAAAAAAAAAAATACACAAAAGGAAGTTCAATTTTTTTAAACCTTTCTTAAAACTTAGGGGGTAAATCACGTCAGCTGAAAATTAAAGAGATTTTTCACGTTTTATTATAAACTTTGTGCTTTACAGTTGTACAATGTACGGATGAGACGATTTAAGAAATGAAGATGCGTGTGTCTCTTGACTCTCTTCTACGTACGTAGTAGTAGTATGTGTTTTGTTTATTCTTTTTTAACAAAAAGTAACTTACTTAGGTACTACTCTACAACAGGCTAACAGCGAGATGCTTACGGTTACATATACAAATCAAAACACGCCTTTTAAACTCAATCGGAAAGGGTTTTAGCGATAATGGATGAGAAGCATGCATGAAGATGAAGCCTACTATGAGTGTGACTTCGCCTTCGCAGGTTTTAGCGATAATGGATGAGAAGCATGAAGATGAAGCCTACTATGAGTGTGACTTCGCCTTCGCATTCAACGACAGCAATTTCTCGGACCGAGTTCTCACCATTGAGGTTATGCCTGACCCCGACCCCCTTTTAATCCGCACCCAATCCCACTCTCTCACTCTCACTACCATCTCTCCAAATCGCAAGAGACGCACGCACCCCCTTACCAAAGGTAACTTTGTTTCCCCTTTCTATGTAACATCTCTCACTTCTCATTTTTGTGATTCTACCTTATGATCTGATAATTTTTGGATGCTTTCGGTGATAATTCATGACACATAATCTTACAACTTTCTAGGTGAAAGTGAATAGAATCTCTATTTGCAAACCTCTTCTGTGCAGTCATAATCATAATCTTTTTTTTGTCTATACTTTTTGTTAGAAAATATAAATATAAATCTTTAAACAGTACTCGCCCAATAACACTTTAAGAAGGTTGGAGTGGTTCTTTAACATGGTATCACAACTTTAGTGACTATGAGGTCACTAGTTTGATCTTCACCGCTTCACTTTCAGGTAGAATTATGAAAAGCATAAGGCAAACCAAAAAATGAGCTTGTGACATATCCACCCTTAAAGTTCAAAGGGCTCTTACACGAGAGGGTGTGTTAGAAAATATAAATATAAATATTTAAAAAAGTTAGCACCCAACACCTTAAGGTTTTGGGTTGACGTAGTTCTTTAACACTTTTACATAGGCTTAGCTGCTGCAGTTTGCAATACAGTTCTTATGATTGCAGTATTAATTTTGCAGATGATGAAGATTCTCATGGCAATGATTCATTATTGGGCATGAGTTGGTCAAAAGTTCTACAAGTTAGGACCATACATATAAGTTCTCCGATTCTTGCAGCTAAAAGCCCCTTCTTTTATAAAGTAGGTTGCATAGCTTTAAATTCCTTTATTCTTAATTTTCTTTTTAATTCTTGAGGTCGTTTTCAAGTACTCCTAGGTTGCTTCCAATGTCTCTGTTTTAATTCCTTTTGTAGTTGTTTTCAAATGGGATGAAAGAGTCTGAGCAACAAAATGTGACTCTTCGAATCCATGCTTCCGGTAATTGCAGAATTTGATATATTTTAATGATAAGAATTTTATAGTACTTCAGTTAGTTTTTTAATGTACAAAATTCAGCTAAAGTATATTTTTCTTGTTAAATTGTCATTGGAGCAGAAGAAGCTGCCGTTTTGGACCTACTTAATTTTATGTATAGTAATACATTATCAAGAACGAAATCTGCTGCTGCTGTATTGGATGTGCTGATGGCTGCTGATAAATTTCATGTTGAGTCATGTATAAGGTATTGCAGTTGGGTATTGAGGAAAATGCCTATGACTTGTGAGACTGCCTTACTATATTTGGATCTTCCTTCTAGCATTTTGATGTCAGATGCAATTCAGCCACTGATAGACACAGCAAAGTTGTTCTTTGCCACAAACTACAGAGACATAACTAAGTAAGATTTTTGTTTCTTTGTGATCGATTATTTCCTTAAAATTGCTTTTTATAACCAAACTCTTAATTGCAATGCTTCCTGCTTCTCTTATTCTTCTTCTTTTTCTTATATACATTCTTAGTTTCCTCTCTTTTTTTATTTGGGTCCTACTTTGTTTTGCAAACTCACGGATCTATAAGAGGTTCTTCTTCGAATGATCTAGGTTTGCATATGAGGCACTAAATTTTCCCTTGGCTGCTATAGAGGCAGTGCTATCTAGTGATTGTCTCCAGGTGCCTTCACAGGATGCTGTCTATGAATTTGTGCTCAAGTGGGCTACAATACATTATCCAAAACTTGAGGAACGACAAGATGTCATTGGATCACGCCTTAGTCGACTCATCCGTTTTCCATACATGTCCTGCCGAAAACTAAAGAAGGTCTTAACATGCAAAGACTTCCATCCTCACCTTGCATCCAAATTTGTTCTTGAAGCTCTTTTCTTCAAAGCCTTGTCTTGGTGCAAGGATGCAAGTCCTTTTTTTCGCCATACGGGGCTTCGATGCATCGCATCTCAAAGGGTACTTAACGAATAATTGAATGGGTTGTTTACATAATAATAGTTATTTTCTGTAACTCACACCTCACTCAACCCTCCTCCCTTGTGACACACTATGTAAATATAGGCAGAGCAATATTGGACTTTGATATTGAAATAAAATAATTCAGGTGTATTATTGTTGCGAACTCGATAAGTGCACCGGTCGTACAAGTAATAAAATGTAACGAGTACAGGACCAGGATTATAATTTCAAACACTATTTCACTACTTTTGTTTAAGTTGGAAAATCAAAATCAATCGTGGAATTCAATTTGGTTTAGATTTAGAATATTAGAACTAATTAAAACAAGAATAAGAACATAAAACTTTGAATTGCTTGACAAAAAAGAAATGTAGTTAGGATTTTAACTTCCTCCGATCTTTCTTTTATGTTTTGTATTTACTCTTTCAAATTAATTGTCTTTAATATAAAATCAATTGATTCTATTAATTTAATTAAGATTCAATTTCTTGACATCTTAAATCTTTATAATCTTGCAAGAATTCTAGTTCTCCGAATATTCTTCAAGAAGATAAGCCTTACGTTCAAGAATCATATGATTGCGTAAAATCCTATGTCTATTTCTAGAATCATAAAGATTACGATGAAGTTATCACGTATGGATCATGCATCAACATTTCTATTGTCATGCACTTACCATAGATCAATCTACAAGATTCAAACTCATAGAAAGTGTTCTGTCCTTGGGACAGAGATGTCCAGCCCAATAGGCTGGTATGTTTCTCTTGGATCTAGTGCCCTCTCCAAGATATCTATGAAGGAGATACCCTTGAGTCAAGCAGATCACTGTGCACAGAATACTATAACGGCGTTAGCCAATATGGTGTGTGTGTGCGCACAGTGACAACATAACAGTAAGAGAGAGAGCGTATCGTACCTTTAGGATTTACCTTGTATTTATAGAGGTTACCTGTGGGTAGTATGGATGGGCCTTTGGTGCCTCTGATAAGGGCCCAAGTCTGCTTGTTATGCTGTCGTATTAGGATTAGTATCATTGATGGATATCTATCCATGATTACTACTGATTCAGATCTTTGATTGCCCCTTGTTGGACCTATCACTTAATGGGCCCCTTATATGGGTCCATAACAGAAAGCATTAAGAAAAGATAACTTCATTCAAAATAAAAAAGGAAGAATAACATCAACAATTCCTTCAAAATATAGAAAATCAATTGGGTTTCATTTAACCCTAACTACAAATAAAAACTTAACCTAACATAATAGAATCAAGAACAAAAGAAAACAAGAAATCTTTCCCAAACTCCATTGATAGTGTGGTGAATCTTCAAGATTTCCATTGCAAACTTGATTCCAATCCGCTTCCAACTCTCAAGAATATGAACTATGCTTCTCCTCTGCTTCATCTCTCCAAAACTTACCAATCCATATGCAATTTGTCCTTAAATAGTTGAAGAATGTGTGCCCTAAGTGGAAGCAATGCAATGAGCCTAAGTTGGACCGTAATGGGCGCTTAAGCGCACTTTTACTGAAGGTTTTTGGTCTTTTCGTGCATTTTGGGCGCTTAAGCTTCTTAAAAAGGGAGTTTAAGCGCACTGAAGGTTTTACTCTTTCTGTGTGTAATTTGAGAGCTTAAGCTCCCTAAAATGGGGCTTAAGCCTCCTCTTCAAATGTTATAAATTCTTCTATTTTGCACTTGGTAACTTCTATGATCTTCAATTCTGAGCTCCAAATCTTTGAACTTTATATCTGCTCTCATTTATATTTATTTACCTTAAAAACAAAATAAAATTCAATTATCTAGTTCATATCTCAATAGTTCATGCTTTTCTACTAATAAAACTTAATTCTCATACATTTGACTATATAATTCATATAAAAGTAGTCCTTAAACATGATAAACCGAAAATTTATCAATTACGTGCACTGTTAGCAATAACTAGTACCTTCAATTGGAATGAGGGACTATTAAAGGGGTTGGGAGGGACATTAGGATTAAGGTTTGCTGTTGCACTAAGAAAAGGGACGAAGTTCCTCAAACAAACCGCCTGCGGACATTGCTCAGTTGACTTCAAGCATTTGTGACTCACTCTTCTTTCTCAAGATTTTTTTTTTCTTGGCTAGTGTCTGCACTCCATTCCTCAATACTAAGCACTTCTAGTATTTGCTAGGCTAGTCCAATTATCCTTGCTACTGATTGTGAACTGTAGTTTCTGGCTCTTTCCTAAATAGGGGTGCCCCACCATTGCTTTCCAATTTTGTAACAATCCAAAATTTTATTTAAAAAGAAAACAATAAAAATATGAAATCATCATCAATTTTACATTATGTGTACGATGGAAGGAGGGTGGTGCTGTATTTATTTGTAGAGAGCTCGGAGAAAGGAGTGTGCGGGGATGTAATAAATAAATGACAAAAAATTCTTGTATAAGGGCAAGAATGCTCGTGCATAGGTGGTTATGATTCTATGAAAAAACTCATAATGTATCTCGGATGATGGCTATTAGGAATTTAGTAGAAGGATGGAAAAAAAAAACATTTTATCCGGTAGAGAGAGTGAAGATTGAACTCATTAAGAGACAGGTCATTAATTCGAAACAATATTTATCACGTGGTAATGTATTTTTTTTATTTATTTTTTTGGTGAAAATTTTATTTTATTTTTTTAAAACGTGTAAGATTGAACTCTTCAATTTCACATTGAAAAAGAGAAATTCATTGTAAGTTTACCTTATTATTATGTGTGCGTAAGAGTTGTATTTTAGTAAAAGATTTTTTATACATTCTTTTTTTTATGGGATTAATGTTTCTTATATTGTAAGAAATAATTTTATCATATAATAAAAAAGAGAGATAATTTCATCTCCTCTAAACATAAAAATGTGTGGGTTTCATGTTTTCTTTTTCTTTTACATGGACCTTATATATTTTTATATGTATATAGAAGATAAAATTATCTCTTATAACATGAGAAATATTAATTTTTTATGGGTTTGATGTTTGTCATTTTAAATGACATAAGTTATATCATTTAGGAGAGAGATAGACACAAGAAATGACAATCATGGGAGAGAGAAAGTGAGTGGTTTTTTTTAATTTAAATTTTAAATAAAAAAATTTATTTTGTGTCTATCTCTCTTAAAATGACATAACTTTATGTCATTTAAAATGACAAATAATTTTTCCTTTTTTTATATATAAAAACTAGTCTTCCGTTGAACTTGTAACTTGTAAGCATGGAAATTTTGTTGTAAGGGTTCAAATGAAATAAAGATTATATCAAAATGTAACATATAAATATTGTAAAAAAAAATTAAGTCTTCAATATTTACATTTGAAAAAATATATACTTATATAAATTATGTGTGGTATGTGCGAAATTTGAGCAATTTGAAAAATCATAACAGTAAAATAGTGTTTACATAAAAGTATAAGAGAAATGTAAAGTATAAAATCTGCACAATTTAGGTTATGTAATTATTATTATTTTTTTCAGATAAAAAATACCACGGTTGGCACATGTTGAACTTTGTGATGATCCTCTCCTCCTTTTTCAAGGTTACTTTTGAATGCTGCAAACATTGATCTGATCTCCAAATCCTGAAGAGTGGTGACAAACCTGAGCCAATCTGGAACCATTTCAAGCTTAGTGCAACTTGCAATCTCAAGTTTGCTAAGACTAGGCATGGCTCCTTTATCCAACTTCAACTCTTCAAGATTGGTCAAGTCACAGATAAGCAGAGACTTAAGCTGAGGGAAACCTTTGCTGGAACAAACTAGTTGCTTTCCCATGAATGAATCCAATTGTAACTCAAGCAACCTTAAATTGGGAAGTTTCTCTAATGTTGTCATTGGATCTACGATGTTTGGTAAGAAGTGAAAAAAAAAAAAAATTCCACAAAAATAAGGTGGAGAAAATTATTTGCCTATGTTTGCCAAGAGAAAAAGTAAAAATAAAGTTGGGAAAAAAAATTCTCATCAATTGTTTTTTCATATAAAATTGTTACGGAATATTATTATTGATGAGGTGAAAAAATATTTTTCTCAAGTAGTCAGAAAATTAACACACATTATCAGTAAAATTAACTCAATATTATCCCAAAAAAATTTATCTATCAAATATTTTTTAATAACTTAACTGGAAAAAAAAATTCATCATATTCTTGAAAATTATTTTTTTTCCCTCTACTAAACGACAAAAAGTCCAAAACCCTGCAACTTTAGCATGCCACCACAATGTTCCTCTTTACCTGTGACATTGAAGTCATAAATGTAGCTGCTACCGGTCTGGATTGGACATTGTGTAATATAAGCTGGTCCATCAGCCCAACCATTACGATATTGTTCGAGTTCATGCGTATAAAATAAGGGAAATATATTCTTATATTATAGGAGAATATTTTTTTTTCCTACACATATATCGATTTTCGTATTTTTTTTTCTCTAGAGGATAGATTCCATATATGATTATCTCTATAGCATGAGAGAGTTCTTTCTTATTACATGAAATTAATAAAGCCCATAAAATAACTAACAATCCATATGTTTATGAGAATCTCATTTGCATGTACAGACATTAAAACTTCACCTTCGTGTCTGGTAAATATACATTATTGGCCTACAGTGAATTGAGATGTTGTATTTTACATGGTTGGTGATCAATATTATAACTAACCTGAAGAGGAGCTTTGTGGTTATAACAAAATCTATTGACATTATAAAATTTTGAAGAAATTTTAATAAAATTTTAAAATACTATAATTTTTGACTTGAATGTTCGAATCAAGCATTTTTTTATTTGTTTTTACATAACTTTTTGAGAGTTATGCATTGAAAAAGTTTTGTAGAATTTTTTTTTAACATATACTCGAGTACATGCCCAAAAATAGCAAATACTCAATTATTTGGATCATATATTTTGGTATGAGACTTGATATGCTCAAATATATGGTCATATACTCAATTATATTGATCAAACAGGAACATATTAGTGTATAATTTTAAAGTGAAAAT